TTTCTCAATCCGAAAACGGATACGGTCCATGACCCTATAATCCAATCATCATTAGAAGACTCCAACACTTAGCTTGAAGCCATATATCACCTCATATTCTTCGCGAACACGAAGGCCTCATCACGAATGCGGACTGATGGAGGCTTGCCTTCTCGAACGCGACCGGCTCATCGCGAATGCGAAGTATTTAAGGACCTATGGGAGGGATCAGACTTCCTTCTACGCAAGCGCGAGCATGGGCTCACGAATGCGAAGTTCAAGGGGTAAAGCCTTTGTGAATACGATGGAGGTTTTGCGATCATGTAAGCCTTGCAAGGCAGCTCTTCGCGAACGCGACAGTGTTTAAACAATCCCAAATCGAGACTTAGGTCATTGTTACCTAAACGGGCCTAGAGGCAATTTTCAAAAGATAATTTCTTTCCCAAAGTTTTGGTAAGTGATTTTTAACCACTTTCTTTCAATTACACATTGCATTCCATGAAATTTTAACCAAAAATCTAGTGTGTTCATGGTAGAATTGGGGATTTTTGGGTAGAAACTGGGGATTTGGGAAATTGGGGATTTAGACCTCGAATTGGGGTCGGATTCCAAAACCAATTATATATCCGGGCTCGGGGGTGAATGGGTAAATGAATTTTGGTCTGAACCTTGGGTTTTGACCAAGCGGGCCCGGGGTCGATTTTTTGACTTTTTAGGGAAAAGTTTGGAATATCTAAATTTATGCATTGTAATTGATTTATTGAGCAATATTTGATATTATTAAGTTAATTACGGCTAGATTGGTTTGGAGGTGAAAACTAGAGGAAAAGCAGTAATTGAGCAGTGAGCGACCTGTGGATCGAGGTAAGTGTTGTGTCTAACTTTGACTCGAGGGATTAGGAATCCTTGACTTATTTGCTATATGAAATCCATGTGAGCAGTGTATAAGTGAGGTGACGAGTACCTATGCACCGCAAATTTATCTGTTTTGCCTGTTTTATTCCCGTTCTTCTTGTATTATCTTTTCATGCCTTAACTACTACATGTTTTACCTGTAATTCCATGCCTAATTGCTACTTGTTAGACATTATATCTTTTGTTGGAAGTGTTAGTTATTTCGTAGCTTCATTGTCCCTATTATTATTTGAGCTGGTTATTGGTACTTTCAAGGCATATTGTGGATTGGTCTCGCTGAGTAGTATTACTTGTGTAAAGTCTCGTAGTGTATAATCTTTCTAAATGCTTTGGTTTGAAGTTGAGCCTTGTGAAGAGTTAGGTGATTTGAATTGTGTAATTTCATTACTTGCTGAGTAAATGATATTGATATGATGAGATCGGGTTGTGTGCCGCAACAGGTGTAATAAGGGTAGATTGTGGTGAGATAAAGGTGAACTGTGATTGTGATTATTAGATACAGTGGTATCGGGTTGCATGCTGCAGCATGTGTAATAAGGGTAGATTATGATAAGATAAGGATGAATTGTGATTGTGATTATTGTGATATGGTGGGATTGAGTTGCACGTCGTAACAATCTTTATGTTTATTTTTTCCCTTGACTGTGTTAGCGGAACAGTAGTATTAAACTGTACTTAAGGATTGGTTATAGCTTAGCACTGATGATATGTTTCGAGAACTGTATTCATTCCTTACAGGTTATTGCTTTATTTTATCATGTCCTTCTTTCTGCTTTTATAATACATTGTATGCAGGTTATATTGTAAATGTCTCATCATAGCCTTGTCACTACCTTGTCGAGGTTAGGTTCGGCACTTACTGTACATGGGGTCGGTTGTATTGATACTGCACTCTGTACTTTCTGTGTAGATTTTGGAGCAGATAGTGGTTGATCAGGAGGTTGGTTATAGATATTTACAACTAGAAGACCCAAGGTAGTCCTGTTGGCGTCCCCTTCTATGCTCCTACAGTTAATTCCCTCATTTGCTAGTTCCACCTCTAAGTATCTTAATTGGAATTTATTGCTTCATGTTCTACCCTTATTGCCTATTTGGCTCATGTGTGCCTTAACTGAAGTTGTACCCTCTTCGACTGCCATGCTATTCTTTCCTAATGCTTATTCTTAATTGAAATTATTATTATCTCTTCTGTAATTGCCTCATCCTTATTTGGAATTATTGCCAAGATGAAAATTATGAGGCATTATATGTTCCAATTGTTTCAATTATAGTATGTATGCTTCTAAAATAATCAATGCAAATGACTTCGATGTTAAGTCCCCAAGAGTCATGAACATATCTAATAACCTCAAGATGTCAAGTGAGTGAATAACGAGATGAAAGGGAGATGTCATATGCTAAATGATGATGAACCTTAAGAAAATAAATTGGGCGCATGTGTTGTTGAAATCGACTTATTGATTTAACATGCATGTGCTAATGTAATGAGTTGTGTTTCTCCATGATGAACATGAACATGAAGTATTCCAATGATATGGGAAATTACGACCTTAAATGAAATGTTAATCATGTCGCTTTGAGTTTATATATGGTATTGTGATACACCTCCACCCGCATATATTGGGGTGAGGCGGCATGGCTATTTTTTGTAGAGATTGTGGTATTGTGATACACCTCTACCTGCATATATTAGGGTAAGGCGGCAAGGCCGCTTTGTGTAGAGATTGTGGTATTGTGATACACCTCCACTCGCATATATTGGGGTGAGGCGGCATGGCTATTTTTTGTAGAGATTGTGGTATTGTGATACACCTCCACTCGCATATATTGGGGTGAGGCGGTAGGGCCACTATGTATAGAGATTGTGGTATTGTAATATACCTCCACCTGCATATAATAGGGTGAGACGGTAGGACCTCTTTGTGTGAAGGTGGTTATAGAGGATCTCTGACTTAAACAACAACAATAACAACCCAGTATAATCCCACTTAGTGGGGTCTGAGGAGGGTAGTGTGTACGCAGACCTTACCCCTACCCTGGGGTAGAGAGGCTATTTCCAAATAGACCATCGGCATCTTTCCCTCCAAGAATTTCTCACCTTGCTCTTGGGGAGATTCTAACTCGCAGCCTCTTGGTTGGAAGTGGAGGTTGCTTACCATCAAAGCAACCCCTCTTGTCTATAAATGTTATTGGAAGCTCTTAATAAATTTGCTTGACTTTAACGGCTATTTAAGCCCTTTTTATTGTTACCATGATTTATCATATTCATGTTGTATTTCCAAGTCCTTGAATAGGTGGATTGTATATGTGAACACTATGGACAGTCTGTGAGATGCATAAGTGTATAAACGTCAATTAACATTGTTGCCGCCGCCCGCCGCTGTTGTAGTCTGTCTCCTTCCTCGAGCCTTTCCCTCTTATTTATTTCTGTCGTCTCCCCATCCTTTAGATCCAAGACTGTCTGGGTCAGAATCTTAATCTGCTTTTCCTTTCTCCAGTAGAGCATTTTGATCACTAGCAGTAAGCATTTCCCAAATCGAAGCCTCCAAAGACGGAATCTTTTCAATCAAAGCAATAGGAGAGGAAAAGAAGCCCTAGCATTCAAATCCAAGAAAATATAGAACCTTCAAATATGGCAAAAAAGGCAAATCTTTTGAATCAAAGCAATGGAGAAGCTTCAAACATGACAAAAAAGGCAAATCTTTTCAGATGCCAACAGCAGTAGAAGAAGAAACTAGGACCTCCGAATCGAAGAATTCGCAAAGGTACCTGTTTCTTTCTGCCCTCTCCATGTGTGTGCCAGAGGCACAACCAGGATTTCAATCTTATGGGTTCAGAATTTTAATCGCCTTTAAGTTATCGGGTTCTAAATTGATAATTTATGCATATCTCATGATTTTTTAAAGACAAATACAGGGTTCGAACTAAAGCTATTGGGTTCGGCCAAACCCGCTCTCAGCACTCTAGCTCTGCCTGTGTGTATGTGTGCTTTCCTTTTTTTCAAGAACTAGAGTGGTGTTTGAGCCAGTTTCATATATAAAGATTTCATTTTTCCCTCTACTGCACCCTTATCGTCTATATGAATGGGGGTGATCCCAATTTTTACTTAATTTGCAGGTAAGAGAGTTATGAAGCAGTCAAAGCATGTGAACATTGTTGATAAGCAGGTAAATAATTTCAGCTTGTTACTTACAATAGAGTTTTGAATGCTAGCTAGTTGGGGGAGCATTTTTCTTTAATATTTGTTCTTTATAATAATGTGTCTGTGTGTCCGAAAGACTAATGTCTTCAACCTGTGAACTACTAAAGCACTTGCTTTGTCCTATCTAGGCCACTGGAATTCACTTCCATGAAGAAATAATTATACAAATCCTCATCAGGTTACCCATACGGCCTCTTCATTAATGCAAATGTGTTTAAAAATCTTGGGCGGCATTAATCTCCGATCCTTACTTTAAGATGAAGCATCTCAATCATGCCATGAATAACCAGAACTCCCAAAAACTTCTAATTTGTCGACCATGCCCCAAAGATGGTACGATGTGCTTCTATCGTTCTTCTTTATCCTCCGTTGATGTAGAAAAGCTTGATTTCCCTGTAAACTGTTTAGCAAGGCACTGTAAGATCTTGTGTTGTTCCAATGGCTTGTCTCTTATCCTCGTGTTTGTTCCCGATGAAGTTGAGCAACTTTTCCTATGGAATCCCTCCACAGGAGAATCAATAATACTTCCCAATCCACAATTTCCACCAAGACATCCCTCACTTCCTATTTACGGATTGGGATACGACTCGACTAGCGATGGCTTCAAGATTCTTAAGATTGACATGGATAAGCCTTATTCTACCCAAGTTCTTGCGCTCAAAAGTGGATCCTGGCAAAAAATTGATTATCCTCGCTGATATGGTGTCCATCTCATTCAAATTTTGGTAGCCAATTTTGTTGACTTGGTTTGGTTTGGTAGCCAACCTTGTTGAATTTGTATAATTTGGTAGCCAATTTTATTGACTTGGTTTGGTTTGGTAGCCAACCTTGTTGAAATTGTGAAAAGGGTGTGTAAATTATCAAATATTGTAGGCTTTAGAGAGTGAGGTTTTGGCTATAAAAGGAGAGTTTTAACTCTCATTTATACACACCAACAAAGAGAGAAAAGAGAGAGCAAGGTATTTCATAAACTATAAGAAAATAGTTTGTGAAGAAAAATAGAGTGTGAGAGATATTGTAGTGAGGTGGAAAAAGCAAAAGAGTGTTTATTTCTTTTGAGGGTGTAGTGGTCTTAGGAGTATTTTTACTCGTTACTACACAGTGTAAAATTCCTCTCTATAGTGATATCAGTTGNAAAAGAGAGAGCAAGGTATTCCATAAACTATAAGAAAATAGTTTGTGAAGAAAAATAGAGTGTGAGAGATATTGTAGTGAGGTGGAAAAAGCAAAAGAGTGTTTATTTCTTTTGAGGGTGTAGTGGTCTTAGGAGTATTTTTACTCGTTACTACACAGTGTAAAATTCCTCTCTATAGTGATATCAGTTGCTCTTCTTGGTCGTGGTTTTTTCCCTTATTCAGAAGGGTTTCCAAGTAAAAATATTGGTGTCATTATTGCTGTATTTCTATTCTTGTTGATTTAACCATAACTTAGTGTTCTACGTTTATCACTAATACCGTGAATACTATTTTTACGGGGTTTATTCCCAACAAGTGGTATCAGAGCCAAGGTTCTGTCTGAGTATACTCTGTGGTTGCAGCACAGTCTGAACTTCCACATCAGAAAAGAATTACTTTGGTCTCCTAATAAATAGTATTTGTATTTGTGATAAACGATGGAAGCCAACACTAGTAGAATGGTTACTTTGAATGGCACAAATATGCCATTTGGAAGGGCAAAATGGAAGATTTTCTCTATGTCAAGAATTATCATCAACCTGTCTTCGCCACTGTAAAGCCTGATAATAAATCAGATGAAGAGTAGAATATGTTACACAGGCAGGTTTGTGGCTTTATTAGACAGTGGGTTGACGATAATGTTTTGAACCATATTTCTGGGGAGACACATGCTCGGACCCTATGGGAGCACCTTGAAAGTTTGTATGCTCGGAAAACTGGAAACAACAAGATGTTTCTGATAAAGCAGATGTTGGGTTTAAAATACCATGATGGTTCCGCGATGACAGATCATCTGAATAATTTTCAGGGGATCATGAACCAGTTATCTGCTATGGGCATTAAATTTGATGAAGAAATTCAAGGCTTGTTTCTACTTGGTTCCCTACCAGATTCTTGAAAAATTCTTAGAACTTCATTATCAAATTCTGCTCCGGATGGTGTGATCTCTATGGATCTTGCCAAGAGCAGCCTTCTAAATGAAGAAATGAGAAGAAAATCTCAAGGTTCCTCCTCATCAGATGTCTTGGTGACTGACTCTAGGGGGAGAAGCAAGAATCGGGGTTCTCAAAATAGAGAACATAATAGAAGCAAATCCAGAAGCAGACTTAAAGATATTAAGTGCTATCATTGAGGGAAGAAAGGGCACACAAAGAAGTTCTGCCAGATTTTGAAAAATGAGAATAAAGACAAGGAAGAACAGAAAGAAGATGGCAATCGTGTGGCCACCATCACTACAGAAGATCTTGTTACAGTCCTTGATGCAGATCTGATAAATATTGCTTGTGATGAGTCAAGCTGGGTTGTGGACAGTGGTGCCGCATCTCATGTGACATCAAGGAAGGAATTTTTCTCATCATATACTCAGGGTGACTTTGGAACTCTGAGTATGGGTAATGAGACTGTATCTAGGGTGGCTGGTGTTGGAACGATTTGTTTGGAAACTAGTATTGGAACTAAACTAGTTTTAAACAATGTAAAGCATGCACCTGATGTTCGTTTGCACTTGATCTCTGTTGGTGTTTTGGATGATGAGGGATATGTCAGTACCAATGGTGCTGGAAAGTGGAAGCTCACTAAGGGCTCCATGATTGTAGCTCGTGGGGAAAAGCGTCGTGGTTTATACTGGACTACGGCCTCTACCTATGTTGATATGGTGAATGCCGTTGAGAGCCATAACTCTTCAACGTTATGGCATAAGAGGCTTAGCCACATTAGCGAGAAATGATTAAATATTCTGGCCAAGAAGAAATTGTTGTCAAATTTTGAAAGTGCAAAATTAGAAAAATGTGAGCACTGCTTGGCTGGAAAACAAAAAAGAGTTCTTTCCAGTCTCATCCTCCTTCAAGAAAGACGGAGTTGCTTGAGTTGGTGCATTCAGATTTATGCGGTCCAATGAAGACAAGGACTTTGGGTGGTGCACTTTATTTTGCTACCTTTATTGATGACTGCTCAAGGAAACTTTGGATCTACATCTTGAAGACCAAAGACCAAGTGTTGGGTGTCTTTAAGCAGTTTTAGGCTTCAGTTGAAAAAGAAACTGGAAAGAAGCTGAAGTATATTCGTACTGATAACGGTGGTGAATATTGTGGACCGTTTGACGAATACTGCAAGGAACAGGGTATTAGACACCAGAAGACTCCTCCTAAGACTTCTCAGCTTAATGGTTTACCAGAAAGGATGAACAGGACCTTGATGGAAAGAGTCAGATGTTTGCTTTCTGAAGCAAAGTTGTCGAATTCCTTTTGGGGTGAGGTTTTGTTGACCGTCGCACATGTTATTAATCCATCCCATGCGGTTGCTTTGCAAAGTGATGTTCCAAACAAAGTTTGGTATGGCAAGGATGTTTCCTATGACCACTTGAAAGTGTTTGGTTGCAAAGCTTTTATACATGTGCCTAAAGATGAGAGGTCAAAATTAACTGCCAAGACAAGACAGTGTATCTTCATTGGTTATGGCCTTGATAGGTTTGGTTACATGCTATATGATCCAATTGAGAATAAGGTCATGAGAAGCCGTGATGTTATCTTTGTGGAGGATCAAACCATTGAAGATATTAACAAAGCGGAGAAGCTAAAATCTCCAAGTTCTGAAGGATTAGTCAATCTTGATCAAGTTCCTCATACAAATACGGATGACGTTGGTGGGCTCAATGATGATGGTGATGCCCAGAACCATAATCCAGATCAGCATATTGATGGTGATGGTGATAACAATGCTAATGTTGATGAGGTATATGTTCCTACTCACGAAGCTGTGGACGAGCTAGATATTCCACTCAGGAGGTCCTCTAGACCTCGTACTCCTTCCTCCCGTTATTCACCCAATGAGTATGTATTACTCACTGATGGGGGAGAACCTGAATATTATGCAGAGGCCATAGAAGATGAGCACAAGGATCAATGGATTGAAGCCATGCAAGATGAGATGAAATCTCTGCATGAGAACCATACTTATGAGTTGGTGAAA